GAAACAGAGGTGAAGAAACTTGCCCAAAGTCACACAGTGCATAAGGTACAGACCTGGATTTGAATTCCAGGAGGTCTGGTTGCAAAGCCTGTGCCACTGGGATCCGACATGGTGAGTTTCTTGGAGGAGACCTAAGAAATCACCCACTCAACCCACCTGCTTTAAAGATGAGAAAAGAAAGACCCAGAAAAGAGAAGGGACTTGCCCAAAGTCGCTCAGTAGCAGAACAGGGACTGAAAAACAGGCCTCCGCCCTCTCAGTGGTAGATAAAAGTGATGGCTCCTGGCCTCCAATCTCAGCTTCTCAACTGCAGGTGTAGGAATCACGGTCAAAGGGTCATACTCCCCCTCACCTCACATGTTGCCCCCACCCCCAACCCCTACCTTTAAATTTTAAACACAGAAGTAACAGTGGGGCCACCTGTGAGGGTGACATTCTTTTACTTCACACTTTCACTTCGGGGCAGAAAAAGCCCCAGGCACACCTTTTCCTGAGCAGTTCCCACAGCCTTCCAAGTTCCCTTCCCAGACGCTCATCCTGAGTCAGGGCCCCTGGTGGCAGGCCCTGGGCACCATCGGCAGCATGCACACGCTGTCTGGGGAAAGAGCGTCAGGTGGGGCTTTTGCACTTTTCTTAGGTGGGGAAAGCACTTGGTTGGTTGGTTCTTTTTTAATCTTACATTTGTATGGTGTCAGGTCACAAGATGTGTTTGCATATATCAGTGGTTACTATTTGGAACTCCACTGACACACTGATGAAAAATAAGAACGCTTTCCACCTAATGAATGCATAGAAATAAAGTCTTGCACACGCTTTCAAAGGATTGCTATCCTATTGCAGCCTACCCATGGACGGGGTTAAAAAGCCATGGTGGAGATCAGCCGTGGATTTGGTTTCCACAAGGAGAATGGGACAGGTATTGTCATTGTCATTTCACAAATGAGAACAGAGGCTCAGAAAGTTGAAGGGACTTGCCCAAAGTCACATGACCAGCCATGGCAGAGGTGGAACTAGAGCAACCGTGCCGCGCAGCAAACACAGTCTCTCTCGGTGCTGGGCATTCAGAGAAGACTTTGCCCCGGATGAAGGCCCTGTCTAGAAGCCAGATGCTCTGACTCCATAAGAATTTCTGTCTGCCCAGTGGGGAAGGCAGACAGGAGGCTGTTTTTCCTGTTGCTCTGTGCGTCCTGATGTTGGCGAATGTTGTCTTGTTAGGACCTCCATGCAAATATCTGCATTTTCTGCCCAGAGCTAATTTGGACAATAACCACAGATCGGTGGCCACGCCAGGCTTGGATTGCAGCACAGATGTGGTCATCTCCACCCCAGGCATCCCTTGTCTAGGCTGGACTCTGCATGGGGTAAGCCATTCTCTGGTANCTTTTGCACTTTTCTTAGGTGGGGAAAGCACTTGGTTGGTTGGTTCTTTTTTAATCTTACATTTGTATGGTGTCAGGTCACAAGATGTGTTTGCATATATCAGTGGTTACTATTTGGAACTCCACTGACACACTGATGAAAAATAAGAACGCTTTCCACCTAATGAATGCATAGAAATAAAGTCTTGCACACGCTTTCAAAGGATTGCTATCCTATTGCAGCCTACCCATGGACGGGGTTAAAAAGCCATGGTGGAGATCAGCCGTGGATTTGGTTTCCACAAGGAGAATGGGACAGGTATTGTCATTGTCATTTCACAAATGAGAACAGAGGCTCAGAAAGTTGAAGGGACTTGCCCAAAGTCACATGACCAGCCATGGCAGAGGTGGAACTAGAGCAACCGTGCCGCGCAGCAAACACAGTCTCTCTCGGTGCTGGGCATTCAGAGAAGACTTTGCCCCGGATGAAGGCCCTGTCTAGAAGCCAGATGCTCTGACTCCATAAGAATTTCTGTCTGCCCAGTGGGGAAGGCAGACAGGAGGCTGTTTTTCCTGTTGCTCTGTGCGTCCTGATGTTGGCGAATGTTGTCTTGTTAGGACCTCCATGCAAATATCTGCATTTTCTGCCCAGAGCTAATTTGGACAATAACCACAGATTGGTGGCCACGCCAGGCTTGGATTGCAGCACAGATGTGGTCATCTCCACCCCAGGCATCCCTTGTCTAGGCTGGACTCTGCATGGGGTAAGCCATTCTCTGGTAGGAGGGAGTTGTTTTGTAAGGGAAACATGAGAAGGGAGTTGGGCGGCAGCAGGGATGTTGGGAGGAAGCTTCCAGAAGTGGCAGGGTGAGAAACGTGGGAGCTGAGAAACGCTTGTCCTTTCTGTCACTCATTCGTGACCAGGGCTGAGAACTCAGGCTGGTACCATTTCCTGTCTCAACCCAGGTGTGAACTGGGCAACATCCAGCAAAGGCCCTAGGTCTCAGGGAAATACCCCTTCGCAGCTTCTCTAAGTAGGGTCATCTCCGTGCTTACAGCACAAGAATTTTGTCTTGTGACTTAGCGGATGTGGAACTTAGTTCCTGCTCTGCCACTAATTTGTTGGGTGACCTTAGGCAAATGACATTCCCATTCTTGGACTGTTTTCTCAATGGTAAAATGATGGAACTGAATTAAAAAAGAGATTTTCAATCTGTTTCTTGGAACCTGAGGGACTTAGGCTGCCTTAAAGAGAGGATATATTATAGGTAATATGGACTCAGATTTTACTTGACTTGTGATTATAGGTTCTATTGATTGTAAATAGTGTTCTGCTCTCTTAAAATTTTAAAAAACACTGGATTATAATAAAGGCTGCCATTTATTGAGCTCTTATTATCCACCAGGCATATTATTTTTAACCTCATGGAATAGGCAAAT